CATTCTCATCATTAGAATTTCCACAAACTTTAGTATACTTCGCTAACACATTTTTTATTACAGCCTAATGCCACACCGTATTTTCAGTACAAGTATGGAATTATCAGCATGGATATCGGTAGCCCAAATTTTTCAGGCCGACCATAGATATCGGGTGTGAGTCGGCAGGGGATCGAACCCCGGACCATGTGCATGGTCGGCGGGAGTCCTAACCACTGTGCCACCGACGCACATAGATTTGAAAGATGTGTAATCTTGATGGTGTTATTAGAAGACGGAGATTATGTGAAAAATGTATGTAATTGCGCTAAACATTTCGAACTATCTGATCACACATCTACTTGTGAAGACGATAGATGTGGAAAAAAATTAAGGGCAGTTAAATTAAACGAAGTGACAAAGAAAAGATTTAAGAATAATTAACGCAACGTTTGGTAATCCAGTCAAATAAGGATTACCAAAGTAGGTTAACAATAATAATAAACCTTTTATGAACGCACAGGGGTGGGTGGGCTTAAATTTATGAACAACTGTAGCCTCAGCATATTTCAGTATGCGCCCTTGACCATTTTTATGGATGACCTTAAAGGCTGTATTAACATCAATCTTATGGATCATATCGATTAGATGTTTGGCCATAGATGAAGTTGCTCGTCTCTCACCTGCGTCCATTGATTTCCCACAATTCATTTGTCTTTCTAACCATTTCGCGATATGCCCTCCCACCTTCACATGCAAAGCACGATTACTCCTCCCTATGTATGTGTGTCCACACACACACATGCGAAAATTGGTAAGCAGTGTGGGATGTGACATAATCACTTGTGCACTTTTGAGGTTTGCAGTGGAGCGTATTCTTGGCTTTTTCGATAATTACAAGCTGGGCTGTATAATAGGTCCTACGCATGACCGAATTTAATCTTTGTCTCAAAATCCTACTGTTTATCTCACCATTATATGGCATTTGATGAGAACATTTTTCCTAGGGGCTGTATAGATTGCAGGTTTAGAGACTAACTGACTTCTACACCTGTTTAGAAATTTTTCATTTTCTTTCTCTTATAACGAAAGCCGTGCAAATACGCTGAATCCTCTTAAATAAGCATTTCACCAAGCTTCTCTTGTAGTGTAATGGACAGAAGCTGTGAAAATTAAGGTTTTGCCCTGTCCAAGTAGGTTTTCTGTAAATTGATCGTCTTATTGAACCCTTATCTCTTCGACTCAGAAATATATCTAAAAGTGCTAGCTGCTCGCGACCTTCTTCCTCGCATGTCAGACTTATGTGATTCTGTACAGAATAAAGTCTATTTAGTAGATAACTCGCATCTTCATGATCATCTCTCATCAAAATGATATAATCTACATATCTCCGACAGAAGAGTGATTTAGAAATTAAATGGGGCAAGTTCTCAACATAAGACATGTGAACGTCCGCTAACGAAGGTCCTAATTGACCCTGCATAGCAATACCATCCACTTGTCGAAAGTGTTCACCTTCAAACGTGAAATGGACGTTATCAGTACATAATAATAATAAATCTTTCAAATGAGTTTAAAAAAAAAGGGAATGAAAAACAACTAGAAGAAATATAGTCACAAAGAATATCAACGGTCTTAATCAATGGTACATTAGTAAACAAGGAATTAACATCAAAAGAGCACATTTTCCTATCTTTTATGTTCATATCTACAAGACAGTCAGCGAGTTCAAATGAATCTTTCGAAGTAAACTTGCATAATTCGTTGCATGCTGCACGTAAAACATCAGCTAACCACTTTGATAATTTATGTGTAGGAGAGTGACACATTGATAGAATTGGACGTAATGGATTATCAACCTTAAGACTCTCGGGTAATCCATAAAGGTTTGGAGAGTCAGATCCCATGGGTTACAGTGAATTAAACACCTGTTTATCGATAACACCCATGCCACGAAGTTTTACTAAATGGCAAGTTACTTTTCCTTCCAATTTTCTGATATTATCAGAAGGAACATCAGCTGTGAATTTACTCTTGTTATTAGGGACAAATAACATTTTCGTTTGATGATCACTTTTGTCCATTACAACTACACCAGATCATTTGTCAGGTTTCAGAATAACTGAATCGGATCTGTTACCTAATTCCTCTAGGGCTCTAAATGAGTTGATGTCAAAATGCTTTTTTGTTTCCGACTTGAATTACGGAATTGATGTGATGTTGTGGTGAAAGCTGGCTGCTACGCAAAGTTGGTAGACACTAATTTACGTCAGTGTTAATTTCCCCAATACTGGTCGTGAGAAAAATGCGAACAAATGCTTTGCGTAGGCGGAAACAGTTGGCATATAGATGATATGTTGCCTGGCGCTTATCTTCTGTTGTTACAATATATCTACAAAAAGATTTGTAATCATCATCTGTATGTCGTGTGTCTGCAATCAGATTCTCAATGGGAGAGCTTGGACGTATAATTTCACCATGACTACATTCATCAGACTCAATCTAAATTGATGTTAGATGGTTTAAGCCAGTTGACAGGATGCCATAAACTTGGATTTCAATCTGCTTCTGAAGCCACCTAGAAATATGTATGTAATATGAAACCCTTACCTGCATTGATCGATAAGTCCTGTCTATGTACGTGGGAAGACAATCACGTTAAAATGTATTTGCGTGCATATGTTGATAGAGTCAGTAAATATTTTCTACTGAATGGAGTATATGAAAGAAGGGCAGACACAGTATGCATTCATAAGCATTAGTCTACGAAACCAGCATGTTTTTAAATATCCGGTGTACAGATTCGTTGGAGTAATTTAAGAAGTAAGATAGACCACATGGAGTGCAGAGTGTGGAGATGAGCAGTGAAATGTGATCGTCATCATGATGTTTCAGCAGACATTTTCGGTAATAGAATAAAACTGGATTAAAATATAATAAATTTGGGGGTGACTATCAGTATCCCAGTATCAGACTATGTATACACGTACACATGCACCCTCAGAATGCCTAGCTCGCTTGCATATAAGTAGATAACTTAATAAATAATCTTATTTACAAGTGGCCGTTCACTGGTAACGCACAAATGTACTACATTTTAGAGTATGGAAGTTGGCGATCTACTTTTCTCTATTCTGGGATCTACAGATGACCTGAAAGTCAAACAATTCACTCTACAAATATCGATTAATATTACGTGAATGTGTGTGTGTTTGATTTATTTTCATTTGGTTCAATGTTTACATATTTGAAAGTCATTCGACAGTGTGTGTATTTGCATGCATCGATATGTTGATCAAGTCAATAAATATTTTCTACTGAATGGAATACATTTATATCAGTATCTACTTCAGTCTAACCTGCTTTAGTTGAATACACTGCCTTCTTATTAACTGATTATGCTAACATCACTCGTCCTACAACCATCTCACGACATATTCCTATCGCGATGAATCTAATTCGCCTATACTCAGTCACTTTCAAAGAAGTTATTCTCACCTGTCTGCCTCAACAATGATGGTCGTTATACTTCCAGCTGTGTGTACCATCTCATCTCCATCACAACTGTCATTTGACCAACTATGTTAAGTGTACTTAGAGATCTGTGTGTCTCTCCGTTGACGCAACACCCTCACCTCTCACCTACATTTCCAGTCGCCTTCATCAATCTGATTCCTATCATTCCCAACATCATCATGATCTTTTAATTAAATCCTCTCGTCACTCATTACTACACGGAAATATGTAGTCAGTCTCGCCCTAATCTCAACACACTATATCCACTCGTCCCACCAACCCCACAGACACACACGTGTAGCTGTCCCTCACTCATGAGTCAATACACAAATTTACACTCTATCATCTCATATGACATCACGTGACGCAGACAGAAACTTCAAAACCTTAAAATGGTAGTCAGATTAAAGGGAATACAATGTGAAAATTTCCAATGCACATATCTGTCTGTATCCGACCGAAAACAGCTGATGGGGGGAATACAAGTCGAAAAGTGCAAACACGTGAAGAATCGAATGATTACTTTGAGAATTCTTAATCATGTGATGTGGCGAACAGCACATACATTGAGAGCATATCTTGTGATGAACAGTTCTCACCTAACTTATTATTGTGACATATTTGTTCAGGTTGGTGAAAATATGTTCTACTAATGTGATGACCAGTAAGAAAAGACACGATTCTGACACCTATTTGAATCACGATCACGTTGTTTACCACATTCTTAGAGCTTGTAATGTGCTCCGTGAAATCGATTCTATCTTTTGGAAGAATATGATATTTCTAATAGATTTGGTGGTAAAATTTATTTTGCTTAAGTCCTACAGTGTTATACAGTAATATTTACTGATGACATTTCGAACACAATTTATTCCTCACAAATACATTTCAACCACAATGGAATAATACGCTTACACAGAGCACAGTTTCTATTTTTATATCTATGACAAAGCTAACTGACATATCACCGCACGGGACATCTAAATTAAAAACGGAAACAAAAATCAAAAGTCTAACATTTATTTTTTTAACATTTATAACCAATAGTCATTTCATGATAGCATTCGGCAACTTTTAAGTTATTATATGCATATATTTCTATTAAAGTTTGGATACAGAGCATCCACCCAACAAAATGAAATAAAATTCCATAGACTCTGGTAAATTAAACCTCTTCTTCGAAGTCACCATCATTGACAGTTGCATCTTGATATTGTTGGTATTCACTCACCAAATCATTCATATTCGATTCAGCCTCAGTGAACTCCATCTCATCCATACCTTCACCAGTATACCAATGCAAAAATGCCTTACGTCGGAACATAGCAGTGAACTGCTCAGAAACACGCTTAAACAGACCCTGGATAGCCGTATTATTCCCGATGAATGTCACTGACATTTTCAATCCACGTGGTGGGATGTCACAAACTGCTGTCTTCACATTATTCGGAATCCACTCAACAAAATAACTCGAGTTCTTATTCTGCACGTTCATCATCTGCTCATCAACTTCCCTCATAGAAATACGACCACGGAAGATGGCAGCTACAGTCAGGTAACGCCCGTGTCGTGGATCACACGCAGCCATCATATTCTTCGCGTCGAACATTTGTTGTGTGAGTTCAGGAACCGTGAGTGCACGGTATTGTTGACTCCCACGACTAGTGAGTGGGGCGAAACCAGGCATGAAGAAATGAAGACGTGGGAATGGCACCATATTCACCGCCAGTTTGCGTAGATCGGCATTCAGCTGACCAGGGAATCGCAGACACGTTGTCACTCCCGACATCGTCGCACTCACCAAGTGATTCAAATCGCCGTATGTCGGGTTGGTTAATTTCAGCGTCCTGAAGCATATATCGTAGAGTGCTTCGTTGTCAATGCAGAATGTCTCATCAGTGTTCTCGACGAGTTGGTGGACGGACAGTGTAGCATTGTATGGCTCGACAACGGTGTCTGACACCTGGAAAATACACGCGTAAATTACATCTATTGTTAAAAGGAAAACAGCAGTTATTGCAATACTTCACATTCTATGATTGAATTCAATGAAATGTTATGCAAGACTAAGATAACTACGGCTATGACCCTAACAATGTTTATGTGAGTGAGTATAATTCAGCTCTGTAAAATCGATGGCGACACTGAATAATAAATAATCTACTATCTCAACATTTGACTCCACCTACTTGAAATGACTGGAATACTGATGTGGAATATGAGCTACATCGAAGTATGATACTGTGCTCTATGAGAGTGATTTGTTAGATGACGAGTGAATTTTGAATTCACTCACTACGTTGAAGATAGTTGAACAACTAATGAATGAATGCTGTCTGAGATTATCTGGTAAACGAAGATGAATCATCCCCGTGCGTATTTATGAATATTCAGTAGGTAGCATTATATTAGTCACACACACCCTCCTTGTGCTTCCTCATCTCAGTGAAGTTTCTTTATTTCATATCACAGATTACGAGCTAAGCTTAAATTTGGAGATAATCACGTCTCCATTTATTTGACGAATACAAAGCTTTGAAATTCAAAGGATATCTGGTCTTCCCAACACGCCAATCTTGAAATCATCAGTAATACTCATTCACATGAAATACAAATTCTCCCTGGAATCTCAAAGCCCTATTCACCTTAATTCATCATGTAATATATAACAGTTTAAATCTGAAATTCAACTTCCACTGATATTCGTATCATCGAGATTAATTTCATGTTCACGATTAGTAGTTGGCTGCACGAATATTCACAAAACACGCGAAATGTATTTCGAATGGCTATATCAGACACGTACTTTACTCACTAATCACAGAAATGTAGTATGTGACACACTTCAGAGTTGACAAAATGAAACGGGTCAACCAAGAAGTTGAGATTGAAGATCAACACAGCAAATATAAGAAAACACTACTCTGGACTAGCCAGCCATAGTTTTTAAAGTCCTTATGGTATAATGACCACCTACTGAGAATAGGGCTTTGACAAATCTTGGAATTCGTCACATTTAGCCTTCATTGGTCAATTTAAATGATTTTTACACAATCATTTTATGTGACATTCCAATGGCGTTGTGACGCTTCACAACCAATTCTTATGGCAGTACTTCTGTTTGCATCACAGTATCTGTTGTGTATATTGCCTGACTACAGATGACTGTGCACTGTACTATAACTCGTTCATATTGCCCCAAACAGATATAAGTAGAATCCAGATAATGCTATATTTACGGAATACTGACACATGTCAGAAGCTTGACCCACCCACTCAGGAATGAAGAGCAGTTGTCGTTGTCTTCTACAGATGTCAGCGATACACCATCTCGCAAAACATTTATTCGAATCACAACTGGGCTGCAATCGACTGTCGCTCATCACTTATCACTAAGATATCATGATCAAGTGCTTTCTAAAGGGAACATTCAATCCAGTCTTCGGATCACCTGAATAAGTACTAATAAGCTGGCGACAATTCCTGTCGGATGATGCTGTTCCCGGAAAAACTCAGATGTCTTTTGATCTCATCAGACATCAAACACCACATTCATGCACTGAGTAGAACGACACCGACACTGTCATTTCACATCCTTCCCACCCAATTCGAGCCAAATATAAAGGATATGAATTGGAGGATTTGAGGCTATAACAGAGAGAATACACTCAGGAATGTCCTACAGTTAGCAAGGGTGCCTGTTAGTAAGAGATAACCAGTGCCACCAGAGAAGCACTCCTGCCCTACCTAGAACTCAATTAATAAACAAACTACATCTGCAGGCCAACTCCACATGAAAACGAGTATGTTAGTTAGATAAATGACTAGAATATTGCGATCCATTACAGAAAAGACAAACAGTAATGCATAAATTTTCACTCACCTTAGGAGACGGGACAACAGAGAATGTGTTCATTATTCGATCAGGATATTCCTCACGGATTTTCGAGATCAACAGTGTTCCCATACCCGAACCCGTTCCACCACCAAGTGAATGAGTCAACTGGAAACCTTGAAGGGAATCCGTGTTCTCTGCCTCCTTACGCATCACATCCAACACTGAATCGACGAGTTCGGCGCCTTCTGTATAATGGCCTTTAGCCCAATTATTTCCAGCACCGCTGTGCCCGAAGACATAATTATCTGGTCGAAACAGTTGACCGAATGGACCCGCACGAACACTGTCCATTGTTCCTGGCTCCAAATCGACCAATATGGCACGTGGTACGTATTTGCCTCCTGCCGCTTCATTGTAGTAAACATTAATACGTTCCAACTGCAGATCTGAATCTCCATGGTATGCTCCTGTTGGATCAATTCCGTGCTCGTCAGAAATCACCTCCCAAAACTAAACACCACATGTACAACAACAATAAACAACAATGAAAAGCACATTTAAATCAGTCACTGAACTCTTTACTTTCATACTTCCGAATCCAATTTTAATATGTTAATTACTCCATATAAATATTCACGTCATGTAATCATCACAACAATAATACTGATAGCAATCAAATGACAGGTATCGTCCATATACTTGATGATAAACATACACAAGAGACCCAGAAATTCTGATTCACAGTGAGTTCTGATGTGTGTGTTTCTCAAAGACATTAGAGATCTGAACAAATAACACCTTTTGATATCACTACATGCAGTCGATTTTGCTATAGACCCACTGATGCATAAATAAATTCGACTAACCGAGTACTGAATGGGATTCTATCACAGTGTCCAAGTTCTACTCTTGCAGTGATCAGAATAGCAAGCAAACTAAACTGAGACCAACTTGATATAATGATGAGCGACAGTTTGTGCTCGAAACGTCACCAGTTAGTAACATAACTGTATAACACTGAGTGATTTATCAAAATAAAATCTTATCCATAATGGAGTTATACTCCACCATCACAGTGCCCAAGTTTTATACTTATATCAACAAAACTAAACTGAGATTGATTGTCATTATCATTTGACTACAAGTCATCATCTACTTCATCACACCAAAGACTAAATAAACTCTACAGAAATGCTTCTTCGTAAAGTGGATGCATGAAGGACAGAATTTTCGTAAAATACATTTCAGATGGAAAACCACCACCTTACCTTGGATCCGATTTGATTACCACACTGGCCAACTTGAAGATGAACGATTTCACGCATTGTATTGTATTATAATATGTGAGCCTAAGTTACTTGTAATGCGAATGTTATCCAAACGTTTTTTTTTAAGAAAAAAGGGTGAACTAGCGTTTATATAAATAAATGATCAGGTCATACGCCTGTGTGTTTATGTGTGTCTGTTACAGTCTACTTGACCTGTACTCCCCTTCACTTCAGTGTGTGTATACATGTTATTATGAGTTGTCTTCAATTGGTAGGTCACGTCTGTCCTCCTACCTACTTTTCTTCCTATTCGTTTAAATCATTTTGAAGCATAGTACAAACCTGGTCAGATTGGTTAATGACTGTATCTTCATCAGCCAATAATGGCAGATATGTGTTGTATTACTAATCATCGTCAGCTTAATGATATGACTGGTCTTTTGAAACCAGGTCATAGTTAACTGTGATGCATTGATTCATTTCACTGGTGCAGCCAGCAAACAGTTTCTTTCATCAGTCCTTATTTTGACTGTTAGTATTTGTATGGATTTTACATGAGGTAGTAGTTAGTAGATGAATGAATGAAGGCCGACTGTATCATTCTATTTATTTACTACCTATCCAGGTAGTGTATGCACATCACAGCACCTGTCTTTTTTCTCATAGAATCTCACAATCAATATTTATTGCTAAAATATGCTCAATTTCTTCTGTGTGTTATTGATTTGCCATTGTTATGAATATCAGTGATATTATCTGTTGAAGAGAGAATTTGGAACTCCTATTGACTTCATGGTGGCTGACGTAGCCTAGCTTAGTCGTTTCAGAGGACACTATCCATTCGACCATGTAGACATGAGTCGAAGGTAACTGATTCAAACAAGGTGTCTCTGGAAATAATGAGTGAGACAGTAATAATGATTTTCAAAGTAGGCCAACATGTTAATTCGCGAAATTGTCATGTGATATCATATGTCAGTACTCCTCGTAATACCTAAAAATTCAGAACCCACCAGTTACTGGATCGCATTTGAAGTCATGAAAATTCATCTCGAAACAGCACACTATTGTGTTGTTGTTGTTATATTGAATGTTATTTAGATGTACGGAGAACATGCGTAATCCCACTAGGCAGTGATTATCCATTGCTATGAAGTGGAACTACACCGGCAAATTAAAAATCCACTTATACAAAAACTTTAACTGAGGTTACATTGCTATGCTCTGATTACACTTCGCCAGCGCATAACTGACGGAAGAGGACAGGTTGTAGATAGATGTGGCTTCAGAACCAGCTTACATGTCACTGATTGGCTTGCCTCACTCATATTATCGCGAGATTTGATAGATACTAGTGAAGTCAGAGTGTAGACATTTTGAATTACTTCGATTTGGGGAGCACTTTACGAATTATGATTATAATGATTTCAACAGATATCAGTTCATTTTCATAGTCATCTGTCCGTTGGATTAACAACATGCCATTTGCCCCTTACTTCACAGTATATCGCCTTGACCTCCGAATTTTTGTTTTCCAACCTATAAATCTACACACGTCAAGTTGTTTGATGAATAAGTTTAAGCTCCAGTAGAAATAAAAGTGGATCCGCATTTACGCAGAGCACCACAGACCTTCATAGCGTTACTATTATTCCCTCACGTCCAGTGTGTAGCACACAGCTTCATCCAGTTTCCTGAGGTCCTCTTTAGCCGGTCGCAGAATTGCTTATAATCATTCCCCTCCTCCTCACACGAACTCCTCCATGTCACCCTCGGACGCCCAACTTATTGCTTCTCATTACTGTTCCGCTCAAGGGACTAGTGCGAAGTCAGTCAGCGGTCTCTTCAGAGTGCGCCCAATCCGGTTTCATTTCCTTCGGTATTTTTGATGGGCGATAAGTCTTTGGTTAGTTTGCCCCATTTTGCTTAACCTTTCTGACTAGCCACAGTGGACTCTCGCCGACCATGCACATGGTCCGGGGTTCGATCCCCTGCCGGCGCACACCCGATATCTATGGTCGGCCTGAATTTGGGCTACCGATATCCATGCTGAAATTCCACACTTGTACTGAAAATACGGTGTGGAATCAAGCTGTAAATCAAAATAATAAAAAAATAAAATAATAATTGAAGGTAGCTGTTGATAATAGTCTGCAGTCTGTTGGAAACGCTTTTCGTGATGCGCCAAGTCAAAGAACCATACAGATAAACTGGCTTGACATTCATTCTCAGTACTGCACATCATAGAATAGACTGTATTCTTGCTATGAACTGATAAGACACATAATCATCATCTAGAAGCAGATGTCACTCAGTCGTGTGTGCGTTGTCTAGTGAAATAGTGGGTAGGGATATCTCCCATGTGAGTGAGAACTACTTACTTCTTGTCAAACATGAGAGTATTGTTTGCCTTCAATTCAAATGTACTCGACTAGATTACGAACAAATCCTACCTCACACGTCTTTGAGAATGCATCTTCTGTCTCTATAAGAGTATTCGTTAATTACTCACAACGTTGTTCCTGGTGATGATGATGATAACGATCGCCTTTGGCGGGAATATGAAGACGACGCCAATGCCTGTGTACAGGATAACTGTGAGTGTTGAATGTAGTATATGAAAGAAAGGCAGACATAGGATGCATTCATAAGCATTAGTCTACGAAACCAGCATGTGTTTAAATATCCTGTGTACATATTAGTTGGAGTAATTTAAGAAGTAAGATAGACCACATGGCGTGCAGAGTGTGGAGATGAGCAGTGAAATGTGATCGTCATCATTATGTTGCAGTAGACATTTTTGGTAATAAAATAAAGCTGCATTAAAATATAATAAATTTGGGGGTGACTGTCAGTATCCCAGTATCAGACTATGTATGCACGTACACATGGACACTCAGAAGGCCTAACTCGCTTACATATTAGCAGATAACTTAAAAGATAATCTTATTTACAAATGGCCGTTCACCGGTTACGCACAAATGTACAACCTTTTAGAGTATGGAAGTTGGCGATATACTTTCCTCTATTCTGAGATCTACAAACATAAAGTAAACTGCAAGGGAACTTTTACATCTATTTCACTAGCTTTGTGTGTGTGTGCACTGCAAGTGAAAGGGACTGTGGTGAGATAACGGCGTATAACACTTGGGCTATGTAATGACAAATCAAAATCTGGAGATTATATGGGATTCTATTAGTAAACAACACTTGTGAGCTGTGTGGAAATCGTCTTGTCACCGGAGAAGAATCTGAAAGAGGTATAACTATCTTGGCCAATGCTGCATTGTGCGTGTGTGTGTGTGCGGCGTTATTTTAAATTCTTTCTATATAGGCTTGAGATGGTATGCGCAACTTGGACACCAATATTCTCCTGAGATGTTTTCGAATTGCTCCTCCTCGTTTTCGAAGGACTTCATTGAGAAGAAATTCACTCTGAGCTACCTAACTATTTCACTTACAGTACTTGCACTGAAAATGATGACGTTACCTTGATAAGACGAACGAATGTTCGCAGAAATACTTGACCTCCATACTGAATGAATGGCGAGAACAAGTCGTCTTAAACATTGACAAGTGTCACCCATCCAATGACTAGTGAATTCCAAACTACAAAATACATAAAGTAAGTAGTTCTGTGAGTCAGTTGATTGGTTCCACATCGTAGTGTGTAAGAATGTACCAGTTCACGTCCGTCTTCCAGATCCTTGTCACACTTTCAGCATTAAATCTGCTATACACATCACTCTCTCACTAAATATAGACAATGTTATTTCAGAGATAAGATGAAACCTACATTCATGTTGACTCTTATACAACAACAGCTAACCGGTAACCGGTAAATCACTCAACGCACACACACACACACACACACACACACAATGTAGCTTATTCACTTCAATACTAACTAGATGACCTGAAAGTCAAACAATTCACTCTACAAATATCAATCGATATTACGTGAATGTGTGTGTGTGTGTGTTTGATTTATTTTCATTTGGTTCAATGTTGAGATATTTGAAAGTCATTTGTGTGTATATGTTGATTAAGTCAAGAAATATTCTCTACTGAATGGAATACATTTATATCAGTATCTACTTCAGTCTAACCTGCATTAGTTGAATACACTGCCTTCTTATTAACTGATTATACTGACATCACTCGACCTACAACCATCTCACGACACATTCCTATCACAATGAATTTAATTCGCCTATACTCATTCACTTTCATAGACATTATTATTCTCACCTGTCCGCCTCAACGATGACGGTCGTCATACTTTCAGCTGTGTGTACCATCTCATCTCCATTATGACTGTCATTTGACTAACTATGTTAAGTGTACCTCAAATGAATTGTCGTCAAGATTTGACAGAATAGTTCTAAAATATTTGGGCGCCGAGTGAGAAGTAGACATTTGTAAAAAATTATATTTGTAAAATCTCAGCGATATTGAAATAAGTAATTCCAACGTTTCGTTCGGCAATCTGGTCCGAACTTCTTCAGGGAAATTAATCAAAATTAACATAACAGAGGTTTTTATATATAAAAGGCACATCTTTTTAAAAACTTTGTCCAATCATGATTCATACAAATGTCTACTTCTCACTCGGCGCCCAAATATTTTAGAACTATTCCGTCAAATCTTGACGACAGTTCATTTGAATTATTTTGCTATCGAATTAAATTAACAAAGAAACTATGTAATTGGCACAATCATCGTGTTTTCAGTCTCCGTTGTCTGGAACAAAATGCACATCCTAAATCCGTAGCTGTCGGGTCACCTGACAACTCCAGTAGGTCGAATAAAGCAGCTCAATCTTCAGAAAGCAGACAAAGCAATAAGTCCGACAGGGTGCTTCTACTAAACTCTAATCCTAAACACCATAATTTTGAAAATACGTCTAATCATAAAATTCTAGATAATAACAGTTTGAACAGACATGAAGGCGTGATGTTAGCTGATGCATAGGAAATCCTGATTAATAAATAAGAATGGATATGTATCACTAATAATAATAATGCTTGGTCAAATTCCTGACTGTCTTTATCTTC